AAAGCAGAAACGGAACCTGATCCATAGCCTAACTAACAGAGCGAAGAAAATATGCTCTGATGAAGCGTTGGAACAAGAGTTCCGAGCTCTCACCAACGTCCTGAGAGACAATGGATTCCTCGACAAGTTTATTACAAAGCATTTGAACAGGGAGGAAACCAACACCGTCAAATCCACATTTGGAAGGAAACCAGTTTACGTTAGTCTCCTGTTTGAGGGAGGTATATCGACTGATCTACTGAACAGAAGACTTTCTACCAGTTTGAACAAAGTTTTCCCGGCCGCAACGCTCCGAACCTGGTTCACAAGCAATCGTTTGTGCCCCTTTAATCTCAAGAATAGAGTTCCTGTTCACATCCAAAATATGTTAGTTCACTCATTCTCTTGCTGCTATGCAGCGGAATACATCGGACGCACGGCTAGGTAACTCCACCAAAGAATGAAGGAACAATCCACCCTGGCTAGCTTCTGGACCTAGAAGGACGATAACCAGTTCTGTAATACAACATTTAGCTGACACTGCACACAACGTGATACCCAACCAAAGCTTCCGTGTTGTTTACAAGGCGCTGGCCAATCAACCCAGATCAGTACAGCAACGCACAATTGCAGTGGCTGAAGCTATCCCCATACGACATTGCGACCCGATCCTTTGTCGGCAAAAACGCTTTGTTCGTGTGTTGTACTTACCATGGTCCAACTCCCCTCCCCTCACACATGCACCTTGTGCTGAGCACACAACTACAGCACCTTCCGCGCTGACAAGCTCAAGTCACCCTACTGGTGACGTGAACTAATTGTTATTTGATAGGTAGACAATGTCGTCTCTTACTTGATTCCCCTAATATTTGGTTAAATCTCAAGCCCACGTCTTGACAACCGTCAGGTTCTCTGTGGAACCTCATGTTAAGATGAGCATCCTGGCTACCTATGAGTAGCTAACTTATCCGACCAAGTCGCCAGCTGGTCTGCACAATTCACGTGACATCAGCATCAGCAGTGTGTAACTGCTAGGCCTCAATCGACTGAGCATCTCGAGAGCCGGCTACATTTCTCTCGTTTTTTTTTTTGCTTCAATAGACCCTACGGTGTTTCCCGAATCATATCTGACCGATCTATGGTGTATCGTCACATTGAACCGTTGGATTTAAGTTGGCCATTCTAATCTCGTTTTTCGCAACTGTGCTCATAAACGGGGGGGGGGGGTTGCCGATAATGCATGCCTGGAAGGTGTGTGGTGTATCCGTCTGACCATCACTTTTTGTCTTCTCCGGTACTACGCCTACCCAGGTATTTGGTCCCACCTGCTTCACTTTACTATATTGCGACTAACACCAGCAGGTGAATAAGTAGGATCAATCAGTTCCACTTAATACAACCTACTCAAGAATTTGCGGTGAGACCCACACAATTGATGCTATAGCCCTTTTTGAACAGTAGACACCGTAGACAGACTGGAGACTATGCTGATCGATGAATAACGAGGGTCTTCAGCCCCTCCATTCATGTCAACGCCAACCCAGCATTAGTTGAAGACCTTCACAACATCGAAGTATGAGTCTGTATTGTTGAGGTTGCCATTGTTAAATATGCTCGCCGATTTTAATATGCCATGACAGTACTGTCGAGCTACTCTGCTGGAGTGTCGATCGACTTACCTTATTGCCTGGGCACCTCTGCTTTTCATACATCATCGCTGTATAGTATCGGGGTCCGGCACTCGTAGGTCGTCAAGACAGATAACGGTTTCGCAGACCCGGAATTTACTTCTGATTTCAGTCACTGGCGTGCGCTAAAAGACATTCTTCAGGTGTAGAGGTGCTATACTGGTGCCATCGATGCGTGTCCTTATTACTTGACTGTTGGACATATTCGAGCACGTCCCATTTCAACAGCAGAGTTTCTCAGAGTGACGAGTGGGTTTGAATAGTCCCTGGCAGATGGCTACAGTAAGCAAAACACCATCTAGAAATTAGGAGAACATACAATTGCAGACTACTTTTCAAGGTTTGAGTTTAAATGAATTACGATCCTCTTTGGCAGAGTACTGATCGCAGTTGATCTCACCAGTTTAAGTAAAGTGCGGCAGCTTACCTTTACCTTGCTTTTTAATCACAGAAACTCGTAAATAACAGGTGAATAGAAGCTATTCCCTCGGGGAGTTTAAAACAACATTGTTTTCGTCTGGCACAACCTACTTTTTACTTCCCCTCTCGCCTCAGAGAGAACCACGGTACTAGTGCCTGTCATCATTGTTTTGCGTAAAACACAAAGTTAATGTCTGAGGCAATGTCACCCAATCCATGAAACCCAGATGGTTGCCCTTGAGTACGTTTGGGAACAATTTGCCCATATAAACTTGGGTTGCTTTCGTTGAGTGCATCTCGTGAAAGATTTGAGGAATGGCCTTAGCATTCCAGTGAATTAGATTTGGTAACATATAGCGTTTACAGAGGACCAATAAAACTAGCCGTTTGGGGGGTTAGTTCACCTTCGTTTTTTTCAACCAGGAATGTGGGAATTCGACAGGTCTGATCAAAAGAGAGCACTGTAGAGGACAGAGGACCAATAAAACTAGCTGTTTGGGGGTTAGTTCACCTTCGTTTTTTTCAGCCAGGAATGTGGGAATTCGACAGATCTGACCAAAAGAGAGCACTGTAGAGGAACGCGTTATCCATCACTGTTTAAGTGCGTAGTGACCGAGGTTGTTACTTCATTGCACCACGATGGAAGAGCAATAAGACCTGACGAAACATACTACTCATAAGGTTGCTGAAGAACTTTCGACAGCCCATGACCGGTTTCGCCCTTCTTCGGGTTCATCAAATATGCGCAGTCCCCAAATTCGCGTCGACCGTATACTCCGCGTGAATCCAAATCGGACATACTTCGCGAATTACACTTAGCTCGAAAATCGTAGCAACTGAAACATAAGGCGGCCTTCGTGCAGCAAATCCAGTTGAAGAAGAATATGATAACCGAGAGATTCAGCTGAATTCAGTTTTTAGATTTAAGACCAAATTGGTTTGTAAATGGGTGATTGTTGCTAACATTAAGGCTTCTTTACTGGAAGTCGGATGCAATAAGTTCACGTTTTCACATATTTCGTTTGACTGACTGACCATTATCTATTTTGATGAAACAACAAGCCCGTCTGTTGGTTTTTCTTAACAATTTAACCTAACTTGGTAATCGAAAACTACGAGAATTTCGTTTGCTTCATTCTGAAAACACTATGTTTTATACGGAGCTAAACGCCGCTTCAAGAGTAAGCGGACAGTGAAGCGTAAGCTGAGTCAACTACGTTTGTACGGTAGTCTTGGTGATAAAATTTTGGTAGAACAATCTGATTTGCAACTACCCTTCTTACAGTCACTTCTTGAGCAAAGGATCTCAAATGAGTCCACTACCGCTGCACTGGAAAATGCTGAGAGTTCCCAGAGGAGTCTGAAGTGTTCCTGTTTATGTGCAGTTAATTATGCAGTTCTGTGATTTACGATCAAACAGATGAAAGACTAAATGATATTCTTTCTTAATTTTTCGAACACCATTGCCTTCATTTCAGCTTGTCCATCGTGACCTCGCTGCGCGCAACATTCTTGTCGGGGAGGATTTCGTCTTGAAGATAGCTGACTTTGGTTTGACCAGGGTAGTAGACGAATATTACAGAAAGTTAACAGACGTAAGTCTCCGATTAATCATATGGTTTCCGATATTTTCTGTGGTCAACAACTTGGGTCAAGGGCAATGAATATTCCAAGGCATTCGTCAAGCTTGTTTGTTACCGGCTATCTAATATTCTAGCAGTCGAAATGCGCAGATTTACTCCTGTCGTTGGCTTGGACAGAAAGGACTCGTCGAGAATCCTGAAAGGTCACGTAATCTCATCCCTATCGTTGAGTAACTCGTTTCTGGTCGATGTGTAGGGACGAAATCAAATGGAACTAGTTGTAAGAAGCAGAAAACTCCTTGGAGGGTGGTTGCCATTGTTTGGTGTTTTGATCTTTTCGAGTGGAAGCAGTTGTACTTGGTTTGGATTGGGATGAGTTTTTGTGAATTACCGCCTAACAACACAGATGCGTTTCTGTTGTAACTGTATTTTCCTCAGCTTAGTTCTCGGTCTGAGCCTCCCAAGCTAGCGTTCACGTCAAAACAAACACCAAAGGTGCACAAAGGTCTATTAACGCCCAAAACGAAATCAGGAACAGTTGTACAGCGCTTCGTATATATAGCGTAAGCGGCTATAACTTTCTGGAATTTCTGACGCGTTCTGGAGCTCCATTGGCAACCGGCATTCGGCCAATACTGGGTCGTGATTGGCTGTTGGGTCCAGATTGTTGACCAATCAGATCTCGCCTTGATGCCGGACCGGCAAGCGTCCCGAATTTTGGGCCAACCTCGAGCGGACTAGGCTTCTCGGCCGTAGCAGCGCCTAAAGACGTGCGGTGTAGTGGGATCCGCGTGGATTCCTGCCTAACAGTTTCGCTTGCTAGTTATTTTTCATCGGGCTTGACAACTTCACTAGCTATTGTGATGCCTCTTTGGCTCTCCTACTGAACCATGCCCAACTTGTGATAATAACCGCACGCTTCCCCTCCTCCGTTCAGGTCGGTAAGGTGATACACATATGCTTGAAGAGTAGTAGGATTTTCGCCTAAAGGGACCGCCGGCTACCGCCTTATTTGGTGAACAGTGCATGTCGTGCAATGCTGTGCTAACACGCTCAAAAGTTTTTCCCACAGTGATTGACCTTCACTGGATCGTTTTTTCTTACGTTATTTGAGAATGGAACTTTCACGTGTGACGCTATTCAAGCAGATGTCCAGCGCAAGGTCTACCTCAGGACTCATTTGATCCAGTGCTTGTGATTTTGGAGTGGTATCCATTCGTAGGCAATTTTAAATAGAATTACCATCGTTTATTTATGGCACCCTTTCGGTACCTAGGGGCGAGATGGCCCAAGAGATTAGAGCGCGAATTTACTGACCGGAAGTCCGTGGTTGATTAGAGCGCGAATTTACTGACCGGAAGGTCCGTGGTTCGAACCCGACCTCTGCTTCTCGATTTCCCCTGTCTAGGCTTGGGCAACCTGGCAGTATCCCAGCCCTCGCGCAACCTTCGGGTGGCATGGTAGTTAGGCACCGAAAGGGTGCTACAGCTGAACAGTTTTTTTCCGGTACGGAGCTGCCATGCGATTCGAGGGGAGCGCAACGGTCAATATACTGCCAGATTTCTCAAACCCAGACAGGACCAATCGAGAATCCAGGATGTGACTTGAACCACGAAGCTCTTGGTCAGTAATTTCGAGCCTCAACCCCCGAGCTGTCTCGAGCAATATTATGCACCAGGTCATCTTCAGTGGATAATACTTAGAGTACAAACACGTTAGGAGATTGCTCGGTGGCAATTTGCGAACAGTCATCACCTGTTATCAGAAATATTCTTCAAATATTTGTCTGACTAGTGGAAGCTGTTTCGACAAAGCCACCCGAGTCAAATTCCTTGGTTCCCGTCAGGATGCGATACTCATCACCCACAAACAATTAAATAAGTGTCCCTTAATTGCGTTGCTTGTTTGGTGGGATTGTAGCACAACTTTGCGCCAGTCTGACCGGTGTGTGCGGTTTTGAGGTTTCTAGACTGAATGGTCTAGTACGCATTATCTGATGCACGTGTCAGACTTTGGATATTGAATGGGTTGAAGTATTCGGAGTCCCGGTAAGTTTATTGCCAGTTGGTTAAGTGGCACCTGGTCGGTTTTTCAGCATGTGGGAAGATATCGACGGTGCGAGAATATCATCTTGGAGACTACGACTCGTACCCACACAGCAGTCATTCTGGTGGATTGAAACATACGCTTTCAACATTCTACAAGCCCATTGCTTGTCGGTTATTTACTTCCGATATTGTCTGTGCACCATTAAAACGACGTCACTGAATAGTCCTTATAGTAGAGAGTTCAGCCCCTGTAGCTGAACTAATCACACTTTACGCATCACGCTGATTGGGTGCTGTATCGTGGAGGCAGCTATTGATTAAGCCTGAAATGAGCCTGCCAGACCACACGATAGGGGGAAGACAGAGTGCCAGGAACACGGCTGCACTGTCAGTTCAGGTCAAAACGCACGGAAATGGTCATTCGCCTTGTTCGTTCCTGTCCAGCCAATGGCGACCTTGCCACCGTAAGCATTTTCACACCGCTCCGCTGGTTGGTAAGCTCCGCCCACGCACCTGCTATCCGGAATGTGGCGACCGATGGTGACCTTGCAGACGTTCTCTGCACATGTACTTTTCGTGTCTGGACGTGTCCTGACATTTGGACGTGCGCTGTCTACACTGTATTTCGCTCATTTCGTCCAATCTGGTTTCAAGTACAACATAAGATTGACGGAAAATCGGGTACTGCGCCTACCTGATGAGCCCCAAGAAAGGTGAAACCGGTCGTGGGCTGTCGACGAATTTTGGCAACCTTATGAGTAGTGCATTACAAATATACATGTATCGCGATATCTCGGATACCGTAGCGACCGAAACATGAAGCGGCCTGGTGCAGCACATTCGGTCCCCTGGACACATCACAAACGAGAGATTCAGCTGGGTTCCAGGTGAGTCTCTCGAAAAAACAAAATAGTTTGCAAATGAGTGTATTTCGCTCATTTCGTGCAATTCGGTTTCAATTAGGACATGGGGTTGACGGAAACTCGGGGACTGCGCCCACCTGGTGAGCCCCAAGAAGGGCGAAACCGGCCGTGGGCGATCGACGAATTTTCAGCAACCTTTTGAGTAGTGCATAACAAATAGACACTGTACCTCCTCTGAACTGATCACCCATCTGAAGATGGTCCTTATGAGAGATTGGGCAGTAAGTTCGCTTACGTTTCAACTTTTTCTGTGTTGCTGATGTTTCCCCATAGATTAATCACGTTATCGCAATTTTATTGGAGGAAACTTCTGTTTCGAGGTCGCTACGAAACTAGACTGGATTTTCACATCGATGTACTGACTAAATGCCAGGTGCCTTTGCCAATACCTACCTACCTTTTTCAGTCCTAGATTATCTTGCGTGTGCGTTTTACTGGAGTTGCAACAATTGACGGTTCGTTCGTTTTGTTAGGCCCTACTAGCTTGAAGATGATGGAGGAACCGAAACTGTCGCGATCTCTCATACCCGTCTTCTTCTTCGTGAAGGCTTGGTAGAAAATACGTAATCGTACACTAGGGCCAGATCTACACCGGAGAGGGCAAGGCCGATAGTGAGGGGTCGAGCAGTTTTCATCAAACTTACAGGTAGTGTCAGATCAAGGTTTCCTTTTTCCATTGGATGACTGGCTGGGCAGAGTTATCCAGTTGCTGGATAACAACACTGGATATTTAACGAGTCCTTCAATAGTCGACTTTTTCATCGTTCTTTGTGAATTCTGGTGTGTGTTTCTGGCGTCCTTCCATTAAAGCGAACCTTTCCGCTCTAACGAACTATTTCCCCTAGTTCCTAGCAGTTCAGCGGACTTTCCGGTTGGGCTTTTGTGAACTAAATGTGTTTACAACACTCATTGCCTGCTGATTAGACTTAACTAGAATGCTCAGAACCACCGCCCTGGGGCATATTGGATGATGCAACGGTCATGCTAACCTCAAAAGAGAAATATGCTTTTGGTGACATCCACAACTATGTGGTGCACATGATCAGGTCCTAATATATTCCTCTAACTACTGGCGGTTTAGAAAGTAGTGAAAGACAAACGACTGTCAGTCGCACTCCTTCGAGCCGAAATTCTGGTTCCCGCAGAAAACCGACAGCGCTTCTGAGGAATCGGTGGCCAAGAACTGAAGGCACCTCACATCATCTGTCCGGAGGGGCCGCAACCATGCAGCACTACCGCTATAAGTGCGCCTTGCATATGCCAGACTAACACCTAACAGTATGAAAACGTGGTCGACGAAGTTTCTATCCGTTCGTAATAGCGCTTGATGATCACGGGTCAAGGCTTCGCGTGCCATCGTAAGATGACGAAGAACCATTGACGTCGGGAGCCTTGTTACGACAGGAATAAACCTAACGTCTCTGTGTTTACCGCATTCACCATGAGTACCATAGTACACTATTACCGACACTCTCCAGTTGTCTGGGACGGTAGATATATCGGATGAAATTTTATCACGAAAAGCAGATCGGTGGCGTTTGGGAGAGATAAGGCATTCGGTTATTTTCGAAGCCGTCAGACGTTCCAAATTCAATCCCCAGGGGTGCGTCGCGTGCTGAGCATCTGACTGAGCGATTGCAGTTGACTGATTGAATTGTTGTCGGAGTGTTCGATTCAGTGGTTTGGGCATTGTTCCTCTCTACAGATGTGCGAGCTATTTTTACTGATGATTGTTTTGTCTATTGGAGGCCTTTTGGGATTATTGTGCGTATCGGTTGGAGTACTTTTAACACATTTCCACAGTTTTCCGCTTCCTCATCCTCATCAGCCGTCTGAACTCACGAAGTCTGTCGATCCGCGCCTCTGTCCTTTCCCCTTGACGTCGATATTTTGTCGAGTTGTGTCGTGAACTCGACCAGGAGGAATACCTTTCCGAGCTCCGAGCAATTTTAGTGTTGCTGGAGGTCAAGTGCTTGGGAACAATTGGTTGCGCCATATCACAAGCAACTCAGAATCTTTCAGGGTTAATGAAGCTGCTGTC